TGACTGTGGTGATGGAGGGTGACTGTGGTGATGGAGGGTGACTGTGGTGATGGAGGGTGACTGTGGTGATGGAGGGTGACTGTGGTGATGGAGGGTGACTGTGGTGATGGAGGGTGACTGTGGTGATGGAGGGTGACTGTGGTGATGGAGGGTGTCTGTGGTGATGGAGGGTGACTGTGGTGATGGAGGGTGTCTGTGGTGATAGTGGGTGACTGTGGTGATGGAGGGTGTCTGTGGTGATGTAGGGTGACTGTGGTGATGGAGGGTGACTGTGGTGATGGAGGGTGACTGTGGTGATGGAGGGTGTCTGTGGTGATGGAGGGTGACTATGGTGATGGTTGGTGACTGTGGTGATGGAGGGTGACTGTGGTGATGGAGGGTGACTGTGGTGATGGTTGGTGACTGTGGTGATGGAGGGTGACTGTGGTGATGGTTGGTGACTGTGGTGATGGAGGGTGACTGTGGTGATGGAGGGTGACTGTGGTGATGGAGGGTGACTGTGGTGATGGAGGGTGACTGTGGTGATGGAGGGTGACTGTGGTGATGGAGGGTGTCTGTGGTGATGGAGGGTGACTGTGGTGATGGAGGGTGACTGTGGTGATGGAGGGTGTCTGTGGTGATGGTGGGTGACTGTGGTGATGGAGGGTGACTATGGTGATGGAGGGTGACTGTGGTGATGGTGGGTGTCTGTGGTGATGGAGGGTGACTGTGGTGATGGAGGGTGACTGTGGTGATGGAGGGTGACTGTGGTGATGGAGGGTGTCTGTGGTGATGGTGGGTGACTGTGGTGATGGAGGGTGACTATGGTGATGGAGGGTGACTGTGGTGATGGAGGGTGACTGTGGTGATGGAGGGTGACTGTGGTGATGGAGGGTGACTGTGGTGATGGAGGGTGACTGTGGTGATGGAGGGTGACTGTGGTGATGGAGGGTGACTGTGGTGATGGTGGGTGACTGTGGTGATGGAGGGTGTCTGTGGTGATGGAGGGTGACTTTGGTGATGGAGGGTGTCTGTGGTGATGGAGGGTGACTGTGGTGATGGAGGGTGACTGTGGTGATGGAGGGTGACTGTGGTGATGGAGGGTGACTGTGGTGATGGAGGGTGACTGTGGTGATGGAGGGTGACTGTTGTGATGGAGGGTGACTGTGGTGATGGAGGGTGACTGTGGTGATGGAGGGTGTCTGTGGTGATGGAGGGTGACTGTGGTGATGGTGGGTGACTGTGGTGATGGTGACTGTGGTGATGGAGGGTGACTGTGGTGATGGAGGGTGACTGTGGTGATGGAGGGTGTCTGTGGTGATGGAGGGTGTCTGTGGTGATGGAGGGTGACTGTGGTGATGGAGGGTGTCTGTGGTGATGGAGGGTGACTGTGGTGATGGTGGGTGACTGTGGTGATGGTGACTGTGGTGATGGTGACTGTAGTGATGGTGACTGTGGTGATGGTGACTATGGTGATGGTGACTGTAGTGATGGTGACGGAGACCAGTTAATAATAGTGTATACAAATATCAAACATGGATATGTCTTCCTTTGTATTTAAAAGCATTTAGCTGTGTATAGCTAGCGGGCATTTGCAAAAATAGTGGTTAAGGGTTGTGGCTCCGGCACGCTGTTCTCTCTAGGGTGCTGGCCACCCCAGCCAACCTGTGTCCGTCCCACACCACACACCATTCTTAATGCAAAATTGGGTGCCATCTTTGCCTCAAGCATTTGTCCTCTAACCTTGGACAGACAGACAGACATTGTCCCATATAAACAGAGATAGACTCATAGACTCAGACTCACGCCGGTAGAACAGCGAGCAGTGTTAGTCGTCCATCTTGGAGTCCATCTTGGAGTCCATCTTGGAGTCCATCTTGGAGTCCATCCTCGAGACCCGTTCTACCATTCTCCACCTATTTCAAGGGCACCAAACCTAGCAGAAAGTTCTGTTATCCTGTGAGTGACAGGTTCGCTGGCCCCAGCGGTGTTCCTGGCCTGATGTGCCTTTATCTCTCTTGGCCTTGACGTAGACAGGAAGCCAACGGCTTGTCGATGGTCATCCCCCCCCCCCTACTTCCAAATCATTCCTGATGATCTTTTCTAGTTAGATAACGAACTGAAGAATTGTCCTGACCTTTATGGCTTTGGCAGGAAGGCGGTTCCTGGGGTTTATTATTATATTGGTGAAAATGGATATCCTTTTATCTTTGCCTCCATCCATCTATCTGTAGATACATCTATTTACCTATCTATCTATATATCTGTCTGTCTGTCTATCTGTCATCTATCCATCCATGCATCTATCCATCCATGCATCTATCGATCTACCCATCTATATGTCCATCTACCCTCCATCCATTTATTTACATTTCTCTTCATCTACCTATTTACCTTCTCCTCTGATCTTCTCCACCCTGACCCCCCCCCCCTCTCTTACATCACGTACCTCCCCTTCCCCCTCCCCCTACTACCCCCTCCCTGCATCACACTTCTTCCTCTTCTCTCTTCCTCCCTTCCT